CAAGGAATGTTGAGATGCTCGTACAAGTGATGATGCAAAATTACAAAGGATTTATAATGAGCAAATCTCCAAACAAGAATTTGCAAATATGGGTAACTCACAAGTAACAATACAAAGATCTTCCAACAAATATCAAATAGCCACTAACAAATAAGAATTCTTACAAGAATTGAGCATGAACATTAGCATGAAATTTTGACAACAACACTTGTGAGAGTCTTTTTTTTTTTTTAAACAACACTTGTGAGAGTCATGTTAGTTAGAATGAAGAAATTGATGATGATGACATCAAGCTCATTGAAAATTATCATCGAAGATAAAGAATTTGCAAGTGAAGTTTTACTTGCAAGCAACACTAGAAGAGGGATAGTGGATTCCCAAATGCATATTGGAGTCGAAAGCTTTGCGTATGATTTGATCATTGGTGAACCGCCCATTGCTAAAATAATTAGCACATATGAGTTTCATATGCCTTCTTTGAGTCAGAAACTTGAAATATTATTTTCTTCTTTGGTTTAGCAAATTAACTGCAGCTTTAATTTAATGTGAAATTTAGTTCTTATTTGAACAAATTGCCTCCCAACAAATTTGTTGGGTATTTTCACTCATAAATTTATTGTAACATTATTTGAATATTCAAACTTGATTGATTCTCTTCCTTTTCTCAGGTTATAGCTTTTGATTAGATCAGGCCCTGCTCAATGCATAATATTGAGCCTTCTGAGAATCATATTTGGAGAAAGATTGGCAGATGTGATTTCACCTAGTCTGCCTCCATTAAAGATCGGTTGTCGTGGCATCAGGAGATGTTGATGGATAGAGATGCATATGTCGGGTTGTTCATTCGCTCACCTCGATTACCTGCTTTTGAGTCAGAGCTTCCTGTAGGACATGATCCTACAAATTGAGTAATTACTCTCAGGCTTCGTCACAATGATGTCTTTGGATCGGATCGTCGAGGGCTTGAGTTATGGAGCTCAGGATGTGTTACACCATACTGCAGATCTTGCAGAATGGACCGGTACCATCAGACTGTTGAGTTACAGCTTATCTCGTAATGAGATTGAAGAATAACAGTATAATTTGATATTTGGGAGGCCTTTCAGTATGCTGAAGGGCTATGTTTATTGGGCTCGATACGTTCTGAGAGCTCACCGCAGGGTACTTCAGCAGGCAGGCGTCTATGGAGTCATTTATGCCTCATTATTTGATTATAGCTGGCTTTCATACTCCTGGCTTCAGGCATTAGTGGAGCACTGGGATAGTACCACAAACACTTGCTGGATTGGACCGAATGAGATGACGATTACCATTTGGGATTGCAGTTGATTTCTGGCCTACCTATTTTGGGCATTCCTTACGATGAGTGCATTCCTCAGGACTACGACTTATTTAATCGTCGGCCAGATGGTCACTCGAGACGGGGAGAGTTTGCTTACTCAGATGGTCTTCACCAGAGTTTAGCCCATTACTATCACCTTCAGAGACATAGAGGTCACCGCCGTGTGACTATAATTTTCTTGGATAGTTGGATTGAGAGTTTGTTGCTCCATGAGACATATGTATTGTTGGTTGCTCATCCCCATGATCCGTTTGGCACAAATCTTCAGTATAGCGAGCAGGCTTCAGCTAAGTTTTTTAAGCCTGGTTCGGCAGCAGAAGTTCGGATGGTTACCGTTAGGAGGATTTCAGAGGAGATGTCCTTGGTGGCTTTTGTAGCCACTTGGTTGTGATGTTTGTCTTTTCGAGTCAGGACAGATCCTTTCATCCCAGTACACTTTTGATGGCTAGCCTGATTGCTAGTGGAAAATAGGTTTCTTTAGCCACGGCCGCAATTGCGCAGATATACTATGATTTTGGATAGATTTCTGCCTCTTATGGTCGTCGACAGCGTGTGGTTGTTTCCATGGCATTATGTCCATGGATGGGTGCATATACACGTAGAGGGGGCTTTCAGTTGCGCTGAGTCACCGAGTTACTATTCAGATCACTTCTTCCCCTTATTGATCAGTTAGCCAGGGGGATCTCAGCAACATATAGGACCCAGATCATGTTATTTTTCTTTGCACCCTTATACGTGGCCAACCCGTTTTAGACTAGTTTATAGGTCTCCAGTTGGAGAGTTACCCTTCCGGAGTTTAGGAGTTTCACTGTTAGATTCTTTGATAGAGATGGTCAGGCACACTTTGCTTTCTAGGAGCGGCTTTGCGTATATTGCTTCTTATTTTGCCAGCATGAGACCTGGATGGCTTTATTACAAAAGAGATTACTCTATAGTCTTGGAGGGGTATAACCACAATAGAGCAGTGCGACAGTTTGGTTTTGTTTAGGCCACTCCCTTGGATGGACTTCCAGCACTTTCTAGGGTGACAGATCATCATCATTTGAGTTCTCTTTCATTTTCAGCTTGTCTTGAAGTGACTTCCATGACTTGGGCTTTTCTCCTACGATTTGGGATGGGGTTCTCGCTTTTATATAGCACCTACAGATGCTCCTACCGGCATTTCACACTTGCGGCTGCTCTGGATTCGACACACATTTTCCTCTTTTTTGAGCTAGGCATTCAGAGATACAGTAGGAGGATCAAGGGCACTGGCCGACTGAGACATTCATCAGGCTTGAGGGATTACACTCCCGCACGTACAGAGTCTTATAGAGCGTCAGATAAAAGGCGAAAGAGGAGTCCCGAGCCTTCTTATAGACATAGTTGCCCTGATACTTATATTAGTATTGTTATTTTATTTATTATATATATCCTCTCATATACACATATATGATTAAATTATAATGTTTGCAATCCCCTTGCATGGGCGTAGGCCGATTTCTCCTTCTCTAGAGAGGGGTTGACCTAGGAGCAGGACTTCGTACGAGTATACATGTTACACATTTACCTCGATTGGGTATTATATGTTAAATTTAAATATCATATCATATTTTAAAATATTTTCTCTGTTTGCTTTCTAATGTCCCGGCATGCTCTTGTTGATATACAGGACACTTCCCATACTCTTCCTATCTCTTCTTCTTTAGAAATAGTTTGCCTGGATACTACACATACTTCTCCGAGCCCATATGAGTTTCCTTATACGGATGAAGATATTTATGCATTTTATTTATTTTTATTTTTATTAATTAAATAACAAATAGCTTGGCTTTCTTTCACTCAGGTGGTAGGCTTTCTCCTAAGCTACAGCCTAGCAGACTTACACCTGCTCCACCAGCTCATTACACCAGTTCGAGTTCGGCCTTGGGTATAGGTAGCTCTTCACATCACCCATCATCAGGTGACGTGGATGTAGAGGACCGTTCAGGCACTGAGTGTATACCTGTTGCCACCACTACTTCTAACGATGTTGGAGGTAAATACTTCTTACATATATTTATTCAATGGCCCTTTTTTTTTCACCTCCCTTTCATATATGTTTGTAGGTGACAGAACAGCGTCTTTTATGGATCACACTGCTAGTGGTCCTAGTGGACTCGTAGTGGAGCAGGTTGTTTCGTCTCCTACTTTTTCAGATTCCACTTGGGTAGTCGTTGGTGACTCGTTGGACGACGAAAAGGACCGAAGGCTTTGTTTCGTTCTCATTTTAAAGGTGAAGGCAGATGTGGAATCGAGGCATGCGATCGAGACCTGCGAGGCGACACTTCGGCACCGTTTGCAAATCAGGTATGGGGCGACTGTTTCAACAGGATTTGGGCAGGATTTGCGGCAGAGCTCATCACAGTAATGATTTAAGTATTTTTAATATATTTTTTGTTTTCTTTCTTTTAGCTTTAGCAGGTAGGTCAACATATGGCTAAAGTATTTTTAAATGTCTATTGCTAAAAAATAAAACTATGGTGAAGTAATAAAAAATAAATGGTAAATTCAATGATTACATCATAGAATTTGATGCAGAAAAAATGTCCATAGGATTGTAAACAAACCGAATTGATCGAGCACTATTTTATTCAAGTTAAATTCATTTATTTTCGTATCAAGTTTAAACTAAAACTTGAACAACACTCAAGCTTTAAAATCTTATTCAAACTTATTTATTTATTTTCTTATTGAGTTGGAGTCGTGATTATGCTTTAATCGAGTCTAACCAGTTATATATTTAATGCTAATGATTTAAATATATATATGTTTATTACTAGTCAATTTTGTTTAAATTAAATTTGATATAATTTACTAAATATTATTAATTTATTTTCCTAATTTCATATTTTCATAAAAATAACTTTAATCTATATATTTAGCTATTTGCATGTTATTTCATCATACTTATTTAAAGTGCATAGGATATAAGAACTTGAAATAAATAATCAAATAAGTAATTACATCAACATTAAATAAGAATATATTGAGCTATTAGTGAGCTACTTGTTCGACCAATAGATGAATATCTTTACGAACAAAAATTAACAATTAAATTAATATTCAAGTTTTTGTTCTTTTATGTGTCAAGTTTTTTTTAATTTTGTTCAATTACTTAAATAAACGGATATTAAAAAGCATTATATAAACAAGTATTGAGTTATTCATTGAATGCACTAGTAGCCTTTCATGTTGATTTTTATCGGAGGATATTCATACCAACTAATACCTTTGCATCTGATCTGAAAGTACTCCTCATCACTATAACGTGCACAAAGCACCTACACCACAAACAAAGAAACAACATCAAGTAAAAGAAACATACAGCAACTTTACAATTCATAGATAGTCTGATAAGAACTTACCGCTGAATTAGTAAAACGAGCGCCATCCAAAGCCTCAGGAACAATCTGAGTAAAGGAACTAAGAATGTTTAAGTCTTGAAACAGACTCAAAATCAGCACCAGAAAACTCATACGCAAAGCAACTTACAGCCAAAAACCGGAACTCATTCTCCCTCTCTATAAAAGAAGAGATCTTCAATAACCCAAAGGATCAAACAGAACAAATAGTCTATTAGCAAGAGTTGCATTTCTTTCCATCAAGGCGATAAAGTGAATAATTTTCAGTGCTCTACCTCCGATCGTGCAATCTCAAACACGGTAACAATAAGGCCCTCTCCTTCACAGGGTTCAACGCTCAAGCTTGAAACTTCCTGAAAACTTCCCATGCTGTTCTTCAGAATGGATAATAAAACAATCTTTGCAGATAAATTGAATTGTAACCTTAGTTTCTTCTTTTGCAATACCGCGCTCGTAGAAGATAGGGGCAATATGGGCAAAGACGCGTCTAAATCCGGGAAGAAAAGCCGCTTGGAAGTTCCTAAGATTGGGAAAAGTACTCCTCGCGCTCTTCTCTGTCGATCACGATGTGATTAGGGTTTCACAGGTATTAAAAAGTAAAAGAGATAAAGCTCCTATATGTTGCTTGTGATCACCTGATAGAAGAGAGCCGAAACCGCAGACGTAAATGTAGCCTTCGGGTGTCAGAATAGACTCAAAATCGGCCTCGTCCCTCAGCTCCGTTGAGTTGCTCGGGAATGAGATCAAGCCCGACAGCAGCGTCATGCGGGCTAGCCTCGCCGGTACCAAATGTGGTGGCCGATATAAGAAGTTGGAACTGAGCGCCGGCGTAGATCCGGTAATCCGATTCCGGCGGTGGTGGAGCGAGGGAAAGCAGTTCTGTAACAGGATAGCTTTCCGTTTCGCGGCAACTGTAACTGACGGTAGAGTGGGCAAAGCACAAGCGAGCATGAGTCCAATTCCGAACTGCCAGTGGGTGTAAGAGCTTCACATGTAGCGGTATCCAAATAGTTTTAGAGTGGGGTCCGGGGTCTAACCCCAAACTGACCCACCTTACCCGATCCGAAGCAATCTTGATTAGCTAAACGGGTCACAAACTCAGATCTGAACTCGACCCTCCTCTAACCCAATTCGACTCAACCAGGCCCACTGATCCGATTGGAGTATGTTCAACGACCGGACAAGCGGGCGAGCACGAGTAGGGTCGGGTGAGAGGGTGAGCACGAGGCGACTCATGCGCAAGAGCGGGTCAGCTCCATATTGCTTTTGGGTTGATCCGAACCCAACCTGAAAGTATAATCATGTCCTAAATATGGAACCCGAACACTACTCGTTTTCAAATGGGTTGACCCAGACCCAAAATTTTCGGGTCAGAATCAGGTTGAATTTTCATATTGTGTTAATATTAAAACCCCTACTCACATACGAGCAGTGGCGGAGCCAGAAAATATATTAAGGGGGGCCTAAATTATTTTTTTTCCCTCAACTTCTTACATCGAGGCTTGGGACTGGCATAGATAATTTTATTTTTTTAATCATTATTTAAGAAGGTCGAATATTAAATATAAAATAATAAACAGCTATAACATAATAAAGAACAATCCAATAGCTATAACACAACAAAGAGCAATTCAATAGCCATAACACAATAGATAGCAATACAACTGCCATAACATAATATAGTCCAATTAAAAAAACTTAGCATATATGAATAAAATGAATAAATAAAGATTAATATTTACAATATATATAAATAATCTACATTTGTTTACTGAAAGAATAAATAAATCATCTTTTTTGAATGATAGATAGATTTGTATTATTATTAAATAAATATACATATAGATAGTTCCTATGGAATTATATAGAATTAGATGTAACTTCAAGAAGATTTTTCTTTTAAGTTAGATTATATAGAATTAGATGTAACTTCAAGAAGATTTTTCTTTTAAGTTAGATATATTATATGTTGTATTACAAACATTGCATATTTATCATTATAAATAAGACAGAAAAGTACTCATCAGACTATGTTTACAATTATTACTTTGATTTGTGTTAAATTTTCAGATAACTTATCTTGTCCCATTCCTAAGAACCTCATTTATGTTGATCTTTCTCTACTTTTGAAAAGATTAGGATAAGAAAAGTTCCTTTCTCTTGTCAAATAACCTTGATACCTCAAGCAATTTAGGAAAGTACATGTGAAATGAACTCATTATTAGCTCTAAGGTCTACAACATATTGCAAAAGAGGCGATGGTTATATAACATTATGACCTTCACCAGCAGTAAGGTCTCATATATCATTTGTTTTACCTCTTTCAAGTTTATTAAAAAAAATAAGAGTTTTGCATTAACCCATGACTTGAATAACTTTTTCTTCTTTCTAATGACATCATGAGGGCTCCTATGGGCTACTTAAGGAGTCATTCCTCTTTAGCTTATTGTACATTGAGATTGTACCTATGCAATACTAATTAGATAACATAAAGGATTTGTATGCTAAAAAAATTAAGATAAGGAGAGTGTATTCAAATATTCAAAAACTTATCCCATCAATAAATTAATAGTTTTCCCTATGTGATCTAACTCTTTCTTTATCTCATGCTCATTCTAGTCCTTACCCTCAACCTGAAATAAATGAAATGAAGATTGAATAGCAAGCACCATGTCATTATCCTTCTTCTTTTTCTTCTCCTATCTATGCACAAAATTTTGAGCAAAACTAATTAGAAAATCTAATTTCTACTCTAATCTTTAATGATTATTCTATAATCCAAGTTGCTTGTCCTTTGACTCCTGTATCACAAGAAAAAACTAACTCAACCCTTTAAACAAATATAGTTTGAATTGTAACAGATTATTCTTAAGCCCCCTCTCTGCTTTTTCCGCATAACATGTGGCGGTAGTTTTCTTTCTCATAACTCTAATTAAAATAGGCTAAGGAGTATCTACAACAGACTCATAGAAGCCCTCTTCATTAGCTCTATGCATAAGTGTAGGTTAAATAATCACATGCAAAGAATAATATAAAAAATACTTATGAGTTAATTCCTAATAATAATCTAACATATAAACTAACCGTTAAAATATAATAGTTTGCAAAGAACTTACATCTTCATCATCAATAGTGATGAATTATCCTTGCATGTGAGCATTTTGTTACTCTTTCAACTCAACATTATTGACACTATTTCCCCCAAGATACTTTGCACCTTTCCTCCCTATCTATGGGATTTCCTTCCTATATATGGGATAGCTTCAAAATCCTAATATTATAATATTATGGCATATTCAATTATAATTAGGGATGTTAACGAACCGAGCCAAGCTGAGCTTTGGCATGTTCGAGCTTGAGCTCGTTTGCCAAAACCCTTTTTGAGCTCGGTTCGATAAGAGTGAGCCTTTTTTATACATGCTAGAGCTCGTTAAAAACCCCTTGTTTGATCTCAGTTCATGTTTAAGTTCATACTCGGCTCAATTTAGGATTGAAAAGTCTATTAACGAGCCCCTATTCGAGCTCAGTTCATTTCAGGCGTATCGAGCCTATTAATGAGCTCGAGCCTATTAACAAAATTAAATTTTAATTATTTTCATTCGAGCAGATTGTCGACCCATCCACTCGGCTTGCCGACTCGCCCGCCAGAGGCCAAGGAATTCTTCGTAAACCCGACCCATCTACCAGTTTTCAAATGAATACACAATATTCTTCATTATATAGAGCAAAATCAACTACTCATTCATGGTGCGGGACTAAACAAACAGGTTTTTTTTCTGATGTTGTTATGCGTGAGTGGGAGATGCAAGCAGGATCAGAAGCGAAGAACGGGAGTGGATAGCAGGATTCAGGAATTTAAAATTAAATTATTAAATATTTAAATCAATACATTAATTTAATAATATTCAAGCTTGTTAATCGAGCTTCTTCACGAGCTTTAAATAATGTTGTTCGTGAACATAAATAATAATGTTGTTCAAGCTCATTTATTTTGCTATTGAGTATTTATCAAAAGTGTTCAAGCTTGGTCTCTTACCTCATCAAATGAACATGAACGAGCTCTTATCGTGCCGAGCCACAAGTAGCTAGTCGAACGCTCAATTCATTTACAACCATAATTATATTGTATTCAATTGTAACAACCCCATTATATATCATATCCTTCTTGAACAATCTTAATCTCCTCTCCCATGATAGTCTACCTTATAAGCATCCAAAGAATGCTTCCTCATCTTAACCAAGCGAAGTGTCATTGGTTGTCTGAATTAGGAGTGTAAAGTAAAACAATTACCTGTATTTATTAAATTTGGTTGTTTGGGTAATTTTGAGCGGAACAAACGGAAACCATCGGATGTGTTAGGCGTGTATTACGGGGGCTGTTTTGTGTGAGTTAGAAACCCGCTCGTATTGAGCAGGTTATAAATTCATGAGAAGAAAAGCTTCATCGTCGTGCTGCTATTCGTCTTCATTGCACGATAGGCTTCTTCGGCTCCTTCGTTCTTGTTCGACTTTGCTCCGGCAAGCAGCTCCGGAGAGAGTTCACTCCGGCGAGCAGCTCCACTCCGTCGCCCTCAAGTCCGGCCTTCTCCGCTCCAACCTCTTTGTCAGCAACGCTCTCATCCACCTATCCTCGTCGTGTTGTTCGGCTTCATTGCACGAGAAGCTTCTTCGGCTCCTTCGACAAAAGCATCCTCCACCGCACGTCATCCCACCAGACATGTTTTCCGCCGCCCCTGGATATCCATCGTTCGTTCTTGTTTTCCGCCACCCCTGTGATATATATCGGAGAAGCTCTGTTTCTCGCAAAAGGTGAGATTTTATAAATTACTAGAATCCAACGATCAGACTCTTTCATTGAGAAAAGGACGATGATGCTGTAGAGAAAACATGGGATTGAAGTGTAGAGATAGAGGGATATCCAAGATTGGATTTTCTTTACGAAAGCAATGTCGGGTAGGGAGCATCTGGATTTTCATAAGGCACAAATCAGTAAAACTTATTGCCCTTTCTTCAGATTTCAATTTATCAGTAGGTATTCTCTATTTTCCGGATTATTTGGGCTTGGAGCATCTGGATCCACCATCAACTGATTATTACATGATATAAGTCTTAGAAAACTTAAAAGCAAGCGTAATGATTCAAGCATTACATGCTAGATATCTGATTTTCATAACGCACATATAGTTAGCTAATGATTTAGCTTCTCAAAATCATAATCCACAATTATTGGGGCTGATATATGCTCATTCCAATTGCATGCCAGCCATACAGTCGTATTGAATATGCTATGGTTTGTAGAGTAAAAATCCCATTCTACTTACTCAACCACAGACCCACCACCTCGTGCATTTTGATTGAGAAAAAAAATTAGTTGTAATGAATTTTATAGCTAAATACAAGTCTCCACACAAATCAAACAACTTTGAGACTCACCGTGATTTTCCCCCCATTTGATCGCTATTGATCTACTGAGTTATTGATGGCTAGCTACTATTCAGTCCTATTATGATTGAGTTTTGAAAACTATGGTCAAAACATTTTGGTATTCGGCATGTAAGAGGATGTAACATTGGAGAGCAGCAAAAAACCTGTAAACCATAGCATATTCAATATGAATTATATAAAATGTAATTGTAATGAATTTTTTCTATTGCTGTTTTCTAAGATCTTACATTTGTTTTGTTCACAACATGTTCATCTTAGGATGATTCATGCGAGGTAATGGAATTAATTGTCCCTTAATTTACACTAATTGCTATGCTAAGAGTGCTTTGCTTTCTTTCACACATTGCTAATTTATGATTGTTTGTGATGCCTTTGGAGGCTATTTTAGATAAAAAAAATCCTCCAGGGCCATTTTGAACTTAATATATTTCATACATTTAAGTACTTCTACTTGTTGAGCCTTTCAGAATGACAAATATCTGCCCACGCTTTTGTAAGTGCTGTCTTCAAGCATTGAGTTACTAAAAGACATGGATTAGGTTTGATGGTCAACCTACTGGGTAAG